TATATATATATATAAAATTCAACAAAAGATAAATTTAATTAAAACAGTGGTGTCACTGGTCCAAGATACATACAAATAATCTGTAATTGACATACATTATAACTGTATTGTGCTGTATCGTCAAACAATCACAAACCTGTTGTTGAGGAACAAACATTATGATAGTGTTCACTGGATTTAGCGATTTGTATCGTGAATTCTGAGTCGTCAAACTAAAATTTTTATTTTGGTATCCTACACTCACAAACGCGCGATCCTGCAACATGCGCTTCGTACAATTTTTACGAATTTAAAATTCCGGTCAAATCGAAGTCACAGCTGCGACAAATATATCACCTTAACAAATCCTAAGTTTCTCGTTAATATCATGGCGCTACCGGCCGCTACGCGTTTGTACATCTTTTTATTATATTAAGAAAATACGCAGGTATAATATAAACCGACAGCTTTTTACAGGTTATATAGCCAGGATGACAAAATGCAATATCCTCGGTAACCCGGCATCGTCTACCTTAGAGATCTGCCATGACAGAAAGGAAACCTTAAATATCTGTTAATCGCAGCCGGCCAATTGCCGCGAGAAATCGCGAGATCTGACAGAAAGATGATGCGAATGATGCAATAGAACTTTAAAGAAAATAGCCAATGAGAAACGACATTCGGTTGGGACTTTCCCTACTATTCATGATTCGCGCCATCTTTGAAGCCATTCGCGAAGTCTCCTGACACTCTATTTAGCGGCCCTATTTAGCGGCACCGCACGTTCTCTCTAGCGCATTTTCAATAAGAACACTGTGATCATAACGAGATGTGGTTTTTGAGTGTGTGAAAAGTGTGATTTTTGCCGTGTGACAAGCGAGACCAACGTTGTGGACACGAGTGTCGGCACGCAACGGACCGTCTCGCAGGTGAGACCATTTGCGCAATATTACGCACTTCATTTTGTGCGACGGTCCGTCGACGGTAAGAACGGGAATGTACCGTCGTATCGATAAAAAAATTGTCCCGATGCAAAAAATACGAGTCGCAACGTATACATATTGACGTACGTGTAATGCGGCGTACGTTCCTCGTGTCAATGACGAAACGTTGTGTCGCGCGGAAATGACGAAATATGCGCAGGTTCAAAGACGAATAGCCGGCGACTCCGCAGAAAATCGGAAACTTATGTAAGACGGTCAGGTTGCCTCTCATCGCGTGCCGCATTTCCGCTATCGCCGGTTACCATATTGAATAGGTGACGTTCGCCTTTCGGCCTCCACTCGCGAACGTCAGCTTTCTAAGCGTCGCGAGGCCGACATTCCAGACGAATAGAAAAATAGAAAAGTAAAAAAGGAAATGACCCTCGATCGGAACGAGAGCGTGATGGAATATCGGAGATGATAACGGTGAACAGAGCGTTAGGACCCGTTAGGAACCCGGACTATCTTTCGAGGCGTGACTAAAGTTATTATTGAGCACTTGTTTTGCTTGCGGTGAGGTAAAAAATAACACACATTCTATATATATATATAT